GGTTGTGTTGTTTATTTATTTATTATTGTGCCTTGTTTGTAGTTTTTTGTTTTTAATTTTAATTATGTTTTGTTTGATGTATGGAATATGTTGAATAAAATGGTCTTTTATTGAATGCTTTGTTTATTAAATAAAGAAATCCAATACAAGTCATTAAGAATTACTACTACTGAAATAAAATACATGAAGTACACCAACTTTAATACAAAACATGAAAAATAAAAATACATAAAAGGTATGCCAACTAATTTAATGGTTTTGATCATTTAACCAATCCGTGTTGCTAGGCCCATCATCCTGGAAAAGTCTTCTTCTCATAACATCCCTTCATTCTAGCTTCCAATATTGTTTTGTTTCAGGGGACATATGGCTTGTATCCATCGCCACGGTTTCCTGATCCATCTTCTCCATATCTTTTTTGCGCAAATACTCATTTTCTCGTGCACACTCGGCTTGAATTGCCACCTCCATATCTTGGCGTTTCTGCTCCATTTCAATTCTTATGGCGTTTTGCCTTGCAATTTTCTCTAAAAACTTTGAATTATGATTGCTTGAATTACTCGCTTTCTTTGCCTCCACAGCCTTTCGGCTAATGTGCCTCGGTTCCTTTTGGATGGGTGAGTCTTCACTCATAGGGGAATCGAGAGGTGAATCCGATGTCGTTGAATCACGAAGAGGCGTCTCGTTTAACACAACGTTGGGACCCGTGGGAATAATTATGAAGCGTTTACAATATTTCACCACCTCCCAACATTCATGATGGGTGAAACTTTTTTTGCCACCCCTAGTTGCACCGAACCACATTTGTGCTTGAATCAGCTATTTCACAAAAAAATGGAAATGCAAGAAATATTTAAAATATATTGGATATGCAAGTAACAAAATAAAAATAATGGAAATGCAATTAACTTTACAAATAAATTGGAAGTGCAAGAAATATGAAGAAACAATTGGGAATACAATAAATATTAACAACATATTGAAAATGCAAGAAATATGAAGAAACAATTGGAAATGCAAGAAATATTAACAACATATTGAAAATGCAAGAAATATTAACAAAATATTTAAAATGCAATAAATATTAACAACATATATATATTAGGACATTAAACTTAATAAAACGAAAATTACAAAATACTTACCTCGTTAGTACGATTTTCCCCACTTCTATACAAGTTCATTGCTTTTGCCAAGGCATCTCTCCATTTTGCCATATCTTTGTTGAGAAGTTTCCACCTACTCGACAATACCATTTCCGTACGAGGCGACTCCGGAATTTTTTCACAAAATTCAGCATGAATTTTTTTCCACATATGGAAAAATTTCATCTCATTGCCTGTCAAGGGACAATGACAAACTCGGAGCCCCTCCGGTTTCGATAGAAGAAGCCATAAAAATAAGAAATAAAAATATAAGGTGAAAGAGATGAAAATGTTAAGTGAATAGTGAATAAAATGTTGAGTAATAGTAGAAGTAGAATAAAATGTATGAGAATTGGTGTTGAAAGTGAAGGGTATTGTATTTATAGGAAAAAAAAATTAGAATTTTAAAGTATTTTATAGTACTTTTTTCAAAAAAATTTCTATTTTTTTTTTTCATAATTTTATTGCTGGAAAAACGCCAACCGTTGGATAAAGGCTGTAGAAGCAAATCGGAGCGCTGGGGGCGTGCCACGTGGCTTCCAGCCGTTGGACCTGCGTCGCGCTGACGTCAGCACACGCTGGTTCAAATTTTTTTTACCGTTGGCGCGTGCTGCGGCGTGCTCGACGTCAGCCTGACGTCGAGGTGACGTCACCCCCCTCGTTTTGGACCTCGGGCGGAAGCTGCCTTCGAGCCAGCCCGGGTTGGTGGGTCCCACACCTCCCCCGGGCCTGGGCTGTCCGCTAGAACAACTCCCCCCCCAACCTTGGGCTAGGCTGCTCGCTGGACTTGCTCTTATAGTTTTCACAAAGTTAACCAAAGGTAGAACACATGCAACAACTTAAGTGAGATGGCGGTAATGCACCAAGGTTAAAGGTGGTGAAAAATATTTTCAAAAGAGAGTAGGACTTCAATTATCTCACGTATGGTAAATTATTATCTTTATTTGTACTATTTTTTTCTTTTCAAGAAATATTGTACAAAAGCATATTAAACCATGACAAGAATGAATTATAAAAATTTCTTTAAATCAAATAGACAATGGATTTTGATCATTTGTGGATTGCGAATTTGCGATGGGTGTTTCTTTTTCTGTCTTTACAAGCCAACAAGCTTCTGGAAAATGCACTCCCTTAATGGCTGTACATATGCAATTATAATCCACCTAATTAATCGACAATTTTAATTGGAGCCAGTTTCTTCAGCTTTTTCACGTGTTATTATGTTATTAGTCTGAAATAGCAAAACAATGATATCCGCATTACATGTAAGTTTTTGTTGTTGTTGTTGTTGTTGTTGTTGCAGTGATTGAGAGAATGCAGTTAATGTCAATATGCTAAAGTCCTTTAACAAAATATTTTATAAATTTATATCTAACCTCAAACTCAAATCACATTGACATTAGACTTGGTTTTTCTGAAGCTGGTATCTTTAAATTAGACTAAAGTAAAATATCATTTATAAAAAAATTATAATTTAAAAAAAAACACAGAGCATGTTACTCACGTGTTGTGACTAAAAGTTCACACATATACTCACGTCAATCAATTTATTTCATGAGTTTCGAGCAAAATGAAATAAATTCTGCTTCTAAAAGACTATTAAGAGATCCCAACCAATGCGAATAATAAAAGGAAAAAAACATTGTCTAAGTTCCATAAAACATAAATAAATAAATGCTTCACGTTGGTAAAGCCTGAACCTACAAAATTGGATGGCCCTAAAGCCTTTTTATTGGCCCTGTACGAAAGAATAACACTATGGAAAAGTAATAACCAAATTCCATAAAACAAAGAATTCACATATTCATGCTTTAATTTAAGGGAGTTTCACTAAAACACCCAAAATGAGAGCTGAAATTATAAAAAAACCCAACACCCAAAACACTTTATAAACACACCCAAAATCCATCATTACACACTCAAAACCCATTTATAAACACACCCAAAAAATATACAATTGTTTATTTTGGGGTTGATTTTGGGTGTGTTTCTATGTTTAAATAGTGTTTGGATTTTTTTATAAATACATGTCTAGGATTGGGTTTATTTATAAATTTGTAATAATTTAATTTAAGTGTTCAAAAACTGACACCGATCTATGAACAAAGTGACTTGTTTTGGAAGTATGCACAACAATTGAGACAACAGCATGAAACCTATATACCACGAATTAATCGATCCTTAACGAGCTTCCATAAGTGTAATTGATAATTTGTTTGTTGACAATTGATTACCTGGAGAAACGCCTGCTTTCTGTGATTCCGTTTCTATAAAGAAACTAGGTTGCTTGGGCTGAGCCAAGGGAATCTCACTTCCCAACATTATAAGCACAGATGCCATGGTTGGTCTATCCTCAGGATGATGTTGCACGCATAAAAGACTAACATGGATGCAACGTAACACTTCTGATAGAGTATATGAGCTTCCTAAATGCGTATCAATCAGTTCTAAAGGCCTCCCTTGATTCCATAATATCCATGCCTGAAATATGTCAAAACTCCTTTGTGGTTAATTGCCATTCATAGGTCGAATATGTATCAAGAAGAAATTTTACTATCGATACTTACATGTCCAATAAGGTTATGACTATGGTTTGGATGGTAGAATCCCTTATTTTTCCTTCCACTTATGACCTCCAACACCAAAATACCAAAGCTAAAGACATCAGATTTGACAGAAAACAGCCCATAGATAGCATATTCAGGTGCCATGTAGCCGCTGTAGAAAGTAGAAACATCATATGGAAGTGAGAACATAATAAACCATTGATGGGGATGAAAGTAGATCGTGGAAAAACATTCAAAGGAAAACTTACTATGTTCCAACCACTCTGTTTGTATTTCCACCAGTCTGATCTCCTCCAACTAATGTTCTAGCCAAGCCAAAGTCTGAAATTTTTGGATTCATTTCGTTGTCAAGTAAAACATTACTTGCTTTGAGATCTCTATGAACAATCCTTAGCCTGGAATCTTGATGGAGATAGAGGAGACCCCGAGCAACTCCGCAAATAATGTGGAAACGTTTAGGCCAATCTAACAGTAGTTCTCCTCTCACACTATCTGGCAAGTTTAATCCAAATCCATCTTCAGTTCAAAACTGTTTAAAAACCTACATATGAATTATTTTAAAGCAATTGATTCTGCCTAAATTTATAAGCCACCAAAGGTCCAAACCAAAAATAAAGGAGTCCAGGCTTCTGTTGGGCATGTATTCATAAATCAGCATTTTCTCCTCTCCTTGAATGCAGCATCCAAGAAGCTTTACAAGATTTCGATGCTGGAGCTTGGCAAACAGTATAATTTCATTCTTGAACTCATTCAATCCTTGGCCAGAACTTCTTGAAAGCCTCTTCACAGCAATTTCTTGTCCATCTGGTAGTGTCCCCTGGAAATGTACAGTATTTCAAAATATTGTGAAACTCTGGATGTAGTTATTTTTTCTTAGTTTGGCCCTTAAAATACAAGTTACGAATTTACCCTGTAAACGGGTCCAAATCCACCTTCTCCAAGCTTGTTATCGCTTGAAAAGTTATCTGTGGCACTAGCTACTGTGGGCAGGTCAAAGAGCGGGAGCTCCAGATCCTCCTCTGGTTCCCCTTCAATGTTCATATTTGCTTCACTTATCTCTTTTCCCACATGTAGTAGAAATGGGGTTGATGTCAGTGATAGCTTATAAGTAAGAGTAAAGGAAACAAAAACTTATATATGCAAACGGACTATGTACTAATTTAACCATCTCTTTTCACAAAATTAAACTCCATACAACTTTAAATCCCTTTCTGTCAAATATTCATTAAAATACAATCAAACAACACCCACAAATTTTTTGCAAAGATGGTCAAGGTAGTTAATGTACCTTTTAATTTTCTCCTGTTTCGGTGAAGGTAATATCCAACTAACAGCACTACAGAAAACACTACTGCTACGGAAACTGCAATTATCATTGCTGTCTTCACTTTACCACCACTTTCTTCATCATGTTTGTATGATGCAGTAGAGAAGATGAGTAAAAAATGCAGCAAACAATAAAGGAAAAATCAGGTCAATGATTTAATTTAGGTAGAAGAAAAATGGATTTCTTATCAAAACAACATGGAATCAACAATCGAGCTACATGTCACATAAAAAGTATTTAACAAGCAACCAATGTTACAAACTTCCATACCTAATTCTGAAGCCGACATTCGAATATACTGAACCTGCCCAGCAGCTGGAAACTGCCTGATATCTTTTAGATCACCAAACCAGATGGCGCAGCCAGTACCTCCTCCTCTGATATCCGAGCTTGTATAAGCCATACAGGAACAGTTGTTCAAGCATTTTGTTCTGCATTCCTTGAGATTCATACTTTTGTTCACCCAAGAATGTGTAGTATCTGGCAGTTTCAAGGCAACAAATTTGACAAATCCATCTTTATGTCTTTCCTGGCAGCTTAATGGTTTATTGCGCACACATCCTAGAGACCAGTCCATCGAATTCCATTTTTCTTGAGACACAGGCTTGAATCCTTTTAGACATTGGCAGACTGGATTCTCATCAATGATACACTTTCCATTGGCTCCGCAGAGACCATAATTATCACACAAGTCTCTTGGTACTGATGAATAGGCCCTCCAAGTTTGATCTGCTTCAATCCATGTAAAGCGATCACGAGTACTTGTGGTTTGGTTCAAAACTATTCTTGAGATTACAGATTTATTTTGAAGGTTGTACATGTAGTACACTTCATCATCATTATTGACAAAGTCGAAACTATAAAGTGGATTAGGCCTTAATTCTGGTGAACCACTGAATCTCAGGCCATTCCATGGGCCAGTACGATAGTATTTTGCAGTGCCTTTTCGAACATATGCCTCAGGATAAGTATCACGTTCCATTTCAATCCCATAAGTGAAATCTCCTGGACACGGGTCTTCAGAATTTTTCCAAGCTGATAAACTCCGTTTTATACCTGTCCTCAAGTCCCATCCAATCTTCATTCCTGGTAAGAACGTATCAGAAGGATAGTCAAAGCTTTGCCACAAATAGGTTCCTGCATCTCTTAGTACTAAATTCCCAGAATCTAAAAGCTCTACTGTTGCACTTGGGGCATGTTTAGCTGAGCTTATCCACCAAACAACACTCTTATTCTGACCTAACAGCACAAGATGTCCTGTACTGTTTATCATCAAGATGCCGGAAGAATCATTAATGGGGTTGCATCTGTTTGCAACCCACACAACAGTTCTAACTGGGATGTTCTTGTACCAAATTCCCAAGTAACGATTCTCGGAACTACCTGGACTGAAGAAACCAAGCTCAAAGCTTCCACCTTTTGAAACCAAGGTCGTTCCATCATGGATAGACTGGGAGGGACTAATGCTGTCAACTGCAAAGGAAAGTGTGAATAACAGAAAGAGCAAATTAGTACTGATCATAAACGAAAAAGAAAGATGACCCATTTTTGTTCTGGATCTCCTTTCCTACTGGTTCCATTCAAGTTAAGGATAGAATTAGAAAACACCCCTGTGATTGTTAACTGAGAAGACCATTTATGTATCGTGAAGGACACGACAATTGATTGGTAAGTAGTATGCATTGAAAACATAGGCAACTTCTGATCTTTACAAAATGCTGATGTATTTATCAAGAAAAGAACATTATATGCTGGAATTCACATAGCCAATCAAAGCATATGTATTTCTCAGTATGTTATGAGTGCAAGACTGATAACCCAAATGACTGGTAAGCAGCCAATGCCATCCTCATTCAAACATCAAACGATGGTGGAAAAATTGCAAGTCAAAATTGAAACTTTTTTTGTTACCTTCACTCTTGATCGATAGATCACGTAACTGTGTAGAGATATGGTACAAACCGGTTGGCCAAATGAGCGCATCAATGCTTGGTCTCGGGCACCACCAATCAGCAAGTGAAAGACCAAAAACTTGTTTTAGTGAAGAAAGAATTTCCCTCCTTTCACGTTCACAGGTTGCGTCTTGCGGTTCATTCTCCAGCTAACAGTTCTGGTAATTAAGGTCACAATCAACAGAGGAGTGTCTTGGGAAATAAAAAGCCAGAAAGAAATTTGAGTTTTTCGCTAAAATTTCCTTTTTCTTTCTTCCAGATTTGAGCATTTCACTTTCAAATTTGAAACCAAGCTCAAAGGTTCCAGGGTTATGTGGAGAGCTTTTTGTTGGGAAAATTGACTTACCTAAAGGATGCAAGGAGGCTAAGAGCATCTCTAAGGGAGATGTCAAATACCAAACAGAAGACTTTTCCACGCGTTTTGGCTTGATTTTCTAAAGGGCAACCCCAAAGTCAATGAGATTGTTGGGAAGCTTGTGAACTGTCTTGGAGGTTATGAATTAGTTTGAGAAGGAGGGAACTGATTTGTAATAGCTCTAGGTGTGATTTCCAGTATGTTGTTGTAATTCCAGGTGCATGACTTCCTATTCCAAGCATTAATGTGGGTGGCTGGAATCCAAGGCATTGATATGAGCAGCTGGACATCCAAAAGTAGGCCTGTAAAATGTCCTGGCCAGTTCGGCCCTAAGAAGTTCGAGCCCAAGCTCTACCCTATAACAGCCTTTCTTGGCTCAAGAAGTTTATGGGGCCAATTTGGTAAAAATAAATACAAAAGTAGTTCAATTTCGAAATGTCAAAAGTAGTATATGAAATAGGAAATTCAAGTATTGAATGACATTATATAATGTCATGGTATGAGAATGCTAAAAGTACGAAGCTGACCTAAACCAAATTTTGTTCTAAAGTAATGTGGTCCATTTAGCATTGCACACGTGTACTTAGGTGAGATGGCAGTAATGCACCAAGGTCAAAAGTATATTTTCAAAAGAGAGTAGGACTTCTATTATCTCACGTATGGTAAATTATTATCTTTATTTGTACTATTTTGTCTTTTCAATGAAATATGTACAAAAGCATATTAAAACCATGACAAGAATGAATTATAAAAATTTCTTTAAATCAAATGGACAATGGATTTTGTTCATTTGTGGATTGCGATGAGTGTTTCTTTTTGTCTTTACAAGCCAACAAGCTATTGGAAAATGTACTCCTTTAATGGCAGTACATATGCAATTATAATTGACCTAATTAATTCACTATTTTAATTGGCGTCAGTTTCTTCAACTTTTCAGTGACCCCAGTGTCTGGAGAGAAATGGCTCGTTTGGGACTGATTCTGAAAACGTCAATAATCATTTTTATGGAGAATCACTTCTCCAAATAATCATTTTAAGTGATTTTATGAAGAAGCACATGTGAGGTGTTTCTCCCCACAATTACTTATAGCTCGTTTGGGAGTGCTTCTTCCCGAAACGCTTATGCTAGTAGCACTTATGATATAAGCTCTTCTACAAAGAAGCACTTTGTTGTCTGGATGTCACATTTAAAAGTGTTTTTACACTACATAAGAGCGTTTTAGATATTTTGTTAAGTGTTTGGCTGACATAGCATTTTTAAAAGTACTTAAAAAAACTTTAAAGAATCCCAAAATATTATAATAAACATAGGAAATAAAAACCAGATATCTCTATATGGTAGTGTCTACAGTATTGTTCCTAAGATCCAGCACTATGGGTGTATGGTTGATCTCCTAGGTAGAGCCGGACACTTAGACCAAGCAGTGAAGTTTATTGAAAGCATGCCTATCAAACCAGATATCTCTATATGGAGTTCCTTATTGAGAGCATGTGGAAGCCATCAGAATATAGAATTAGCATAAACAACTCATAAAGATAGACCCTCTAAGTGATGCTGCTTATGCTCGTATTTCAAATATATATATGCAAAAGTTCGAAGGTGGGATGATGTGAGCCGGGCAAAAAAGAAGTTGCATGAACTAGGAGTGAGGAAGCAACCAGGATGTAGTCTTATAGAACAAAATGGAGCTGTGCGTGAATAAACGGCTTGGGATTTCTCAAACCCTCAATATGCTGAAATTTATGCTATGTTGGATGAAATAAAGGGTAGACTGCAAAATCATGACCTAGTAGAAACATCATCTCATCATAGTGAAAGATTGGCTGTTGCTTTTGATCTTTTAAACAACCCCCTAAGAACTCCTATCTGTGTAGTTAATAATCTGCAGATTTGTAGAGATTGCCATTCAGCCATGAAACTAATATCTCAGGCCTACAACAGAGAAATTGTTATCAGGGATAATTACAGATTCCATTGGTTTGTAGATGGAATCTGTAATTACAAAACGATCATCCATGGCTGAAACACAGTTAATAAACGAGTGCATTTACAAAACGATCATCCATGGCTGCCAAGCGATGCACACAAACAGCTCTTTGTATAAAAATTAAAAAAAAAAGAAAAAAAAGAAAGGGTATTTTGGCATTTAAAAAAATTAAATATGGATATTTTTTGGCATTTTAAAAGTTTCATTAAAGGGAGCCAAGTGCTTCCCGTGTTTTTGTCCTGCAGCACTTTTAGGAAGAAGCACCTCTCAAGTGCTTCTTCCAAAACCACTCCAAGTGCTTTTGGATCTCACCCAAAGCGCTTTTGTAATTTTTGTCAAACACCATTTTTAGAAGATAGAAGCTTTCACCCATTAAAAATGATTTTTTGAAAAAACACGTGGGAGATGCTTCTTCCCAAAAGTGATTCTGACCTATCTAGAATCACTCACAAACAAACCCAAACTCTCATATAACAGGAATAACACTTTCTGCTATCTTTGGTCAATAACACAATGACATATATGATAACTTTTCCACATGTCATTGTGTTATTGGGCGGGAATTGTAAAACAATGATACCCACGTTACATGTAAGATTTTTTTGCAGTGATTGAGAGAATGCAATTAATGTCAATATGCTAAAGTCCTTTAACAAAATATTTTATAAATTTATATCTAACCTCAAACTCAAATCACATTGACTTTAGACTTTGGTTTTTCCGAAGCTGGTATCTTTAAAATAGACTAAAGTAAAATATCGTCTATATTATTATAAATTACAAACAAAAAAGAAAAAGAAAAAAAGAGCATGTTACTCACGTGTTGTGACTAAAAGTTCACACATATACTCACGTCAATCAATTTATTTCATGAGTTTCGAGCAAAATGAAATAAATTCTGCTTCTAAAAGACTATTAAGAGGTCCCAACCAATGCGAATAATAAAAGGAAAAAACATTGTCTAAGTTTCATAAAACATAAATAAATAAATGCTTCAAAAAAGCCTGAACCTACAAAATTGGATGGCCCTAAAGCCTTTTTATTGGCCCTGTACGAAAGAATAACACTATGGAAAAGTAATAACCCAAGCCTGTTTATGAGATTTATGGAATTAGGGATATTAACCAAATTCCATAAAACAAAGAATTCACATATTCATGCTTTAATTTAAGTGTTCAAAAACTGACACCGATATGAACAAAGTGACTTGTTTTGGAAGTATGCACAACGATTGAGCCAAGCAGTATGAACCTATATACCACGAATTAATCGATCCTTAACGAGCCTCCAGAAGTGTAATCGATATATTGTTTGTTGACCATTGATTACCTGGAGAAACGCCTGCTTCAAGTGATTCCGTTTCTATAAAGAAACCAGGTTGCTTGGGCTGAGCCAAGGGAATCTCACTTCCTAACATTATAAGCACAGATGCCATGGTTGGTCTATCCTCAGGATGATGTTGCACGCATAAAAGACTAACATGGATGCAACGTAACACTTCTGATAGAGTATATGAGGTTCCTAAACGCATATCAATCAGTTCTAACACATCCTGAGGTTTTTGGCATTTTCACAGAATCCTCTCATGTCTTTAAAATTACACGAATGTCTCTTGAGGTTTTAGTTTGTTTTCATAAAACCCATTTTTGTTGGTTGTTTGTCTAGAAATTGATGATTTCATTTTATGTTATAAAACTTATACAAATGACAAAATTAACCTCAATGAAGTATATGCAATCTAATCTAAAAGTCCAACTTTGTCATGTGGAGAATTTATTTATTTTTTGTATAAAATCATCAATCTTCGGATGAAAAATCAATGAAAATGAGTTTTGTTAAAATAATTTAAAACCTCAGGGGGTGTTCTTGTAATTTCTAAAACCTCAAGGAGTTTTGTGAAAAAATTGAAAACCTCAAAAGGTGTTAGTGAAAATAAGTCAAACTTAAACCTAATAGGAACTTTATGTATTGCTAAGTCACTTATGTATCTTATCATGCAATGTATAAAGTGTAAAATATTGTAGTAAATCATTATAAATAAATGATTATGGTGTGTTTAATCTTCTTTCATTAACTACTATATATTTTCTACACTTGTAGTATTTGTTAGCTCGCTATGTAATCAATTTAAATCAGTTAAACCCATCATGCAATGCATTTTATTCCAATTTTTTGTTA